GTTGTTCACATATGTGACTTTCTACTTTTAGGTCCAAATGGCCAGCCTCTATTTCAGTTGGTAGGGGAGTTTGAGGAAAACGAATTATTTGAACTAATAACTGTAGCTGTAGATTATTTTGGTCTTCGTGGGGATCTGTCTCCTCATCATTTACCACCAGCGACTGCAACATCTATTATCAAAGGACCTTTACTTTTCCCTGGGAAAGTAGCAAGTGTCGTTCAAGATAATGGATCAGAAATTATTGCCATAGCAAACTCTGGTTTGCACACTGTGATAATTGCTTCAGCTGAGGGAATAGTGAAGGTTATTATAAATCAATTATCGCCAAGAATTGTGATTAACTTTTGACTGCTTGAATTTTAAGTTTGTCTGTATCCTTTACAGTATGTTATTGGCTGCCCTGGGGAACCTGGATTCGTTGATGGGAATTTTAAAGTTACACGCTTTAATTCCCCACAAGGGCTGGCGTTCTCCTCTTGTGACTTGCTATATGTGGCAGATACAGATAATCATGCCATCCGAAAGGCAAGTTGCTTTGTGTCTCTTTTACTTTTTCTACAGGAAACTTGAATTCTAAAAATCACTTTTATTTAAGGTGGACCTCAAAAGGCAATGTGTGCTAACAATTGCTGGCAATGGTCTGCAAGCATCTGACAGTGTGGGTGGCAGTAGCGGTGCTGCTCAGAGTTTATCCTCTCCATGGGATATTTGTTTCATTCAAAGGAAAGTACTGGCTACTCCCAAACATCCACAACCATTTTTGTGTATCTGCCCCCCTGCCCCTCCTGGTTATAAGGGTCAAGAAAAACTAACTGACACAGACACAAGTCAACCCCCACCGCCTCCACCAACACCTGTCTTCTCTCCGCCACCACCACCTCCTCTTCTCCCTGCCTCTTTAGTCCTTCCCCCTCCTCCTCCTCTTCCTCTTCTTCCTCTATCATCATCTACCTTAAACTCTGCTTTTCAACCACCACCCCTACCTGTAACATTCTCTGCCTCAGAAAACAGAACGGAAGATCAATTTGTCAATCAGGAAATCCTTGCAATTGCAATGGCTGGGTCACATCAGATCTGGATGTACTTTTTTCAAGATGCATTGTGGTGGGGTAAAGAGTATGTTTTGCCTGACATACCTCAGTTATACTTCCATTAAAAAGTAATCAACAATGAATGAACTAAGTTGCATACATCAATCTCTTCAAGGTTTTTCTCTGCTGGAACCTGTACTAATGTCGCAGGTTCAGGGAATGAAGCTAATCGTAACAATGCATATCCTCGATCAGCTTCCTTTGCCCAACCTTCTGGGCTGTCCTACTGCTCAAACTCAGATGAACTCTTCATTGCTGATAGTGAAAGCTCAAGTGTCAGATCCATCAATTTGAAAACTGGAAAAGTATCAGCGGTTGTTGGTGGAAGCAAAACACCTGATGTAAGACTATAGATTCTGCTATGATCTTCATTATCTCTAGTTATTATCTGCTCACTGATAAATATCTTTCTCACTCTTTTCCAGGATTTGTTTTCATTTGGAGATGTGGATGGAGTTGGCTATGATGCAAAGCTTCAACATCCTCTGGGTGTGACATGGCATGAGAAAAGTGAAAGTCTCTTTGTTGCTGATAGTTACAACCACAAAATTAAAAAAATTAAATTGGGAGCAATGACCTGCTGTTCGTACTTGGGAAATGGCCACACTGGAGACTTAGCCTTGGTCTGTCTGCCCTAGATAAAATAGGATCAAGTAATTAATGCGTGAAACTAGACCTATTCCGATGACACATAGTTCTTCTCTCTTCCTTTAGTTCAATGAACCTGGAGGACTTTGTGTTAGTGCCGATGGAAGCAAGCTCTATGTGGCAGATACCAATAATCACTGTGTCAAAGTGATTAGTCTCCATACATCCTCTGTTGCAGAAGTGTGTTTTGCATCTACATTTTTAAATGCCTTTTGTCTAAGTTACATTTAGCTGCCATTTAACTACCTCTTTTCTTTTCCCCTCCAATGCTTTATCAGTTAAAACTGCAATCTGATGAACAGCCTCCTGAAAGCCCCTTGTTATCTTCTGTAGTTATTCCTTTACGAGTCAAATTCAGTGGGAGAATAATTCTCTACACAGGCATAATATTGCCAGAAGGTATTAAACTCACAGAAGGTGCCCCTCAGCGCTGGAAACTTCAACTACCTGGTAAGCCCTTGACATCCTCCTGTTAAACAACTTGAGTTTCTATTACACCTCTATCAGGACTGAATGTTTACCGTTTTTTCTAACAGACAAGAATTGGAAAACAGAGTTTTTAAGTGGAACATTTGACCAAAGTATCAGTCAAACATTATGCATATCAGCACCAACATTACCCTATTCTGGAGAGCCGAATGACATTTCTCTCTCATCTAAGTTATTCTTGTGTGCGGATGGAGCCTGCAAAGCTGTTAGCTCTTCTTTGACATTTTCTGTGGTTTGTAGCAGTGATGCATCTGAAGAAGTCAAGTGTGAAGCTATGTTTACTGTCTAATAAGTAACCCTGTAATATTCTACATTTATTTTCCAACTAATAAATCTAATTGCTAACTCCAATGAAGCCTTAATTCTTAGTTATACAATCCTCATGAAGGTTTATGTTTTGAACTTGGAGACATTATGCAGGGTAAAGGGAAAGAAAGGATGTAACAGTTTACTTCAGTCAAATAATTTATTCAACAGTCCTTGAAGCTTTGAAATACTGGCACATGAATTGGCAGCTTGCGTCAGAGATAAAACTTGAAACATGCACCAGGAGGCCTGTGATGGAATGTTTAGTATTCCTCAGCGCCCTCACCCTCTCCCTCAACGGAGTCCATGCCGACCTCTTCGTAATCTTTTTCAAGGGCAGCCAAGTCCTCACGGGCTTCGGAGAATTCTCCTTCTTCCATTCCCTCACCAACGTACCAGTGAACAAATGCACGCTTTGCATACATCAGATCAAATTTGTGATCCAGACGAGCCCACGCCTCAGCAATAGCTGTGGTGTTGGACAACATGCACACAGCACGCTGTACCTTAGCAAGGTCTCCACCTGGGACAACAGTTGGGGGCTGGTAGTTGATGCCAACCTTGAAACCAGTAGGGCACCAGTCAACAAACTGGATTGTACGCTTGGTCTTGATGGTGGCAATGGCAGCATTGACATCCTTGGGCACAACATCACCACGGTACAACATGCAGCAGGCCATGTACTTTCCGTGACGAGGGTCACACTTCACCATCTGGTTGGCAGGCTCAAAGCAGGCGTTGGTAATTTCAGCAACAGAGAGCTGCTCATGGTAGGCCTTCTCAGCTGAGATGACAGGGGCATAAGTAACCAGAGGGAAGTGGATACGTGGGTAGGGCACCAAGTTGGTCTGGAACTCTGTAAGATCCACATTGAGGGCACCATCAAAGCGGAGGGAAGCCGTGATGGAAGACACAATCTGTCCAATAAGACGGTTGAGGTTGGTGTAGGTAGGGCGCTCAATGTCCAAGTTACGGCGGCAGATGTCATAGATAGCTTCGTTGTCAACCATGAAGGCGCAGTCAGAGTGCTCCAGGGTGGTGTGAGTGGTCAGGATGCTGTTGTAGGGCTCAACAACGGCGGTCGAAACCTGGGGTGCAGGGTAGATGGCGAATTCGAGTTTGGACTTCTTGCCGTAGTCCACAGAAAGACGCTCCATGAGGAGGGAGGTGAAGCCGGAGCCAGTGCCCCCACCGAAAGAGTGGAAGATCAGGAAGCCTTGAAGACCTGTGCACTGGTCAGCCAACTTGCGGATGCGGTCCAATACAAGGTCGACAATTTCCTTGCCAATGGTGTAGTGACCACGAGCATAGTTGTTAGCAGCATCCTCCTTGCCGGTGATAAGCTGCTCAGGGTGGAAGAGCTGGCGGTAGGTACCAGTGCGGACCTCATCTGAGGGAGAGAAAAAAAAAAAAAAAAATCAGAATTGTGCAGAGCATACACCACTAGCAGGATCCAAGTACAAAAGTCGGGTACTCACCAACTACAGTGGGTTCCAGGTCAACAAAGACAGCCCTGGGGACGTGTTTGCCAGCGCCCGTTTCGCTGAAGAATGTGTTAAACGAATCATCGCCTCCTCCAATTGTCTTGTCTGATGGCATCTGCCCGTCAGGCTGAATACCATGTTCCAGGCAGTAAAGCTCCCAGCAGGCGTTACCGATCTGGACGCCAGCCTGGCCCACATGAACGGAGATGCACTCACGCTGTTAACAAAACAAACAAGGTGAGTTAAAAGACAGGTAACAAGCGCTGCACTATGGATAACACATTGAGCTCCAAGTATTCTTAGAGGTAATTAACTAGAGAAAGTTGTTACATCTAGACTTATCAATTAACTTTAAGCGGGGGTGGGACATCATGTTATTGGGACCCACTAACTTAAATATATATTGCAGACATTTGAAAACAATCTCATTGAAAGGTGGGCATCTAATGTCTTTTCCAGAGCAGATATTATTGGCACATACATGAATGCAAAATTGAAATAGTGCAAATGTTTAAGATACATGGGCACAATCGACACCCCAGCCAAACTACCTAGATTCCGGTACGAAAAGAAAAGTGCATCAGTAGCTAGGCTACGTGCGTTCTGAACTTGCAGTTCGAGTCAGCACGACCCTCCAAAGATGTGTTGTATTAAAATGGGGACTAAAAGATGCTACTCTTCCAACTAGAAGATAGTTGAGAGCCACGCCCTGCCCGGCGCTGCCACCCGGCGCGCGCGTCACCACCGCCACCGGCCGCCATGGCTGACGGAGGCGCAGGGTGCGGCACCGCAAACGCAAGGAACGTCTAGAGGCACCACGGCACTCCTTCACGGAGAAGGTCACACAAACACGCGAAATGTCTCTTTAGACCACTGGAATTTCGAGCGCCCAACGTTAAATTCTCCACAACGAAGACCAAAACGGCACCTGCGGTTGGGACACGTCATGGCCTAGCCACTCGACCGCACCCGCACGAACAAGCCGTTACCCGCACTCCGGAACAAACGAGCGAACAAGCACAACACCAAACAGTAATCAGGTACTCACCATTTTGAGAAGGAGTTGAGATTAATTTAAAAGAAGAGGGAGAGGGTGTTCACGACAAAGGTTGCCGTTCGTCGAAGCGGTTAGGATGCTTCTTCAAACTGACTGTGCCGGGAAAGCGGGTGCGGCCCCTTTATATAACCTCGCCTCGGCACCTCATTGGTCGGCGCGCGCACCAACCGCCGCCTCCCCACCCCACTCGGCTCCTATTGGCCAGTTTGAACGCGACGCTAACGCGCTTCGCTCGATATTTTTGCGTACTTGCTGCCTTTTTACGAAGGAACCAGGGCCTTTCTGTCGTTTAACAATAGATTCTGCCGTTTTCTGAGGCATTTGCCCGATTTCCAGCCTCGCATTAACGCTGGAACAAGAACTCGCGCCACATGTTACTTAGTATTTCGCTCACCAGAGGTCATTGCCAGCGTCGCGTCATAGTGCGCTTGCGTATAATGTATCCCGATGCTGTGGTGCCAGTTGCCAGTTGTATAGCACAAAGGCGAGCACAGGCAGTGAGTGTCCTGAGGAAGGGACCCGTATCGGATAAACCTATATCTCTGCACAC